TGGTCCTGTCCAAGTGTGCGCTGTGTCTCCAGTCTTCTACGAGCACACACACAGGGCCCATGGAGCAGTGAGGGTCTGTGGTCACCGGAGGGCGCCACACTCCACCAGACCCGCTTCATCACTCAGCACCTCACCATGTTCAGGGCCAGTCTGTTTGTCCATCCTGGAGATGTAGTGCTGCTGCCACAGATATGAGAGACGACAGGTGATGTTCAGGTTTACAGTGTTGTCATGAAGGAAGGAAGAGCACATTTATGTATTTATTATTAGTTTATTTAAGGTGAAACTCTGCAGGTGAATAGGAAAACATCTTAAACTTAGAGAAATCAATCTGAAACTTCTTCTGTAGTAGTACATAAATGTAAGAACAAAATGTATTACAAGTTTCTCATCATGTTATATACTATGAGATATATACTATACTATATCTGACTGAAAAAATGCTTAAAAATTCAAATTTCCACTTTTTTTTTAAAGTTAAAACTTCTAAATCAGACTTGGAATTAGACTGTGTATGTTTTGACAATATTGTTATGGGCAAGACTGTAAAGGTGTGTGTAAGTGCTGTTTTAAGGGCTGGGCCTATGGTAGAAAATCAATTTTCAGAAAACTGACTTTAAATTCACAATGTCCCATATAACTCTACAGATGCAAGTAGATCAAATTAAATACAAAAAGATATCTTTCAGTGCAGAGTGCACAGTTTTGTTGTCTCCAGATGAAAGTTTATGTTTTGGTCAGCTTGAACTCTTAAACTACAAAAGTATAAGTAAAGTACATAATAGTTTTGCCTGTAGAGTCTCGCCCTATACAGGGACAGAGCAGGAGCATCGTCACATTTAAAACAGGACTAACAACCGAGGCCATGTCCAGAGGCAAAATTTGCAGACTTGGCCCGTCACATAAAAGACAGACTTTTTTTGGGGAACCAACATGAAGCTAAAGATGACTAAGCTGCCACTTGTACAGGTCCATATTCTACTCTCCTCAAGTGTTTTGGTTGTATTCTATGATAAAACTCTATTCTCTAAAGTGACCACACTTGTTGGATGTTGGAAAAGTCACTCATACAAATGATGGTGAGGATGTGGTCATTTGCCAAAATAGTTCTCACTTTGTAGTGAATAGTCTTGCAGCTTGTTTTCTCCTTTAAACAGCATTAGGTCTTGTCTCACTTCCAATAAGAGCCATTACAGTGCAGCTGTTTAGTTTTTCAAAGACCTGAATGGTCTATTTAATGTTTAGTTCCAAGTGATGCTTGCAGACTCAAAAAGGAGTTTTCTGTATAGTTTCTTTTGTAGTAAATATTATAATACACTCCTAACTGTAGCCGTCCTTTAGCTTCAGCAGCAGCCAAACGGTTTCGTTAGTTTCCAGTGAGCGGCGCTTTTCTCTCTGAGGCTTCACATTGAGCTGCTGTTCTGCTCACTCTGCTCGTCCTCAGGGTAAAGACCTTTTCATCTTTCAATTTCTTTCACACCATACTGACTTTCCAGAGGTAGAAAATAATAAAGTACTGTACTTAGGTACAATTTGTATGTAGATACTTTCTACTTTTAAGTCACTACAAAGGTACCTGTACTTTCTACTCCACTTCAGTTTCTTCCGCTTATCTGGAGCCGGGTCGCGGGGACAGCAGTCTAAGCGGGGACTCCCAGACTTCCTTCACCCCAGACACATCCTCCAGCTCCTCCAGGGGGACCCCGAGATGTTCCCAGGCCAGCCGAGAGACATAGTCCCTCCAGCGTGTCCTGGGTCTTCCCCGGGGCCTCCTCCCGGTGGGACATGCCCGGAACACCTCCCGAGGGAGGTACTTTCTACTCCACTTAATTTTCTTACTGGGCTGAAAAGTAAAAAGCACTTTTTATTAAAATGATTAGTTCATTGTAGCTAATGTGTGGTAAAATCATGACTAAAGATTTTGAGTTCAAGTATTTGATTTGTAAAACCTCACATGTGATCTTAGTTGTGTTTTAATTCATCCTGTCAGACACTTGAAATAATACACAAAATACACTTACTCACAGTGGGAAGAGTAACCAAAGTTTTTTACTCAAAATACTAGTACTCTGCTGTCTAAAAACTACAATATGAGAAACACAATTTTATTACAATAGCAACTCAAGCAAATGTACTTGAGTAAATGTAACTGAGTATCCAGCTCCGGCATGAGTTTACATTTATGACTTTACGTTCAGTTTTGATGTGGTGTGTGCGTTTTTCATCCATTTCAATGCTGTTAAACACAGGAGGCAAACTTAAGTGTCCTAAAGGCTGAATAATAATACGTGACCTTTGACCTCTGTGTACTGACCTGCAGCTGCTGGGGACTCTGTGCTTTGTGCGGAGGTGTGTGGTGATGGGCAGGTGCTGCACAGGGCCTGAAGAGAGACCAT